GGGTTCACAGGTTCAGATCCCAGGGACACACTGATGCACCGCTTGTCAAGCCATGCTGTGGTGGCATTCCATATAAAGTAGAGGAAGATGGGCACGGATGTTAGCCCAGGGCCAATCTTCCTCATCAAATAGAGGAGGATTGGCATCAGATGTTAGCTCAGGGCTAGTCTTCCTCACACACACACACAAAAAATACAAACTTCCATTTTTCCATCATTTCATAAAACACTGGGCAAAAAAAGTACCTAGCATATAGTCAACCTAACTTAATAAATGTTAGTAAAGTAAGTGGATGGAAGAATGACTGACAAAAAGGTAGTGATGGTGTAATTTCAGAATAAAGGAATGGCTTTAAATGGAATATATTTAGTGTTAGGAATAACTAAATGCATTGCCCTTAATGTTCCAATTTCCCCATGACCCAACAAACTCTTCATGGCCTACCGTGAGCCTCCAGGTTGGTTTGGGGGGAAATGCTGCATCTAAATAGTTCAAAGTTAGTTCTGTTCTGGACATGCTGCTTATCCTTCTGATACCTACCATGGACGATTCACTTCCAGCCATTTACTGGGCACCTACTCTGAGCCAAACATGTAGTAGTCTGTGATTTGAGGATGCCAAAATGATTAAGAGACAGTCTGGGCTCTCAAGCAGAGTGACTTAGTTGGGCAAAGAGATGTGCTCCTCCTACCCCCGCACCAAAAAAACCCATATTACGTGACCATCTGGTAAGGGTCACAAAAAAGACTGCCTATTGCCAGACATGTGGTTGAGAGAAAGAACATAGAGGTAAACTCTGTGATGAATCTGGGAGTGAGTGTTGGAGAAGATGACATTTTACAATAACTTGAGAGTCTTTTCCAATCTCTCGTGGCCTATATTTCCGGGTAAACATGTTGCTGTGGGTTCAGAGGCTGTAGCTCTGGAACCTTGGGCAGTCTACTGGACTAGCTTAAGTCTCAGTTCTTCCACTGTAAAATGAAGATGGTAGCAATATCCACCTTACAGAGTGATTGTGAGGATGATATTGTATAGTACTTGTAAAGTGCTGAGTACAAGGGCAAATGGTTAAGTGAGCTACTAGTATGATTATGACTAAACTTCAGCAGAGTGGGCTAAAGATGGCAATCAGTAGACACTCAGGCTTTTATTAAACTCTGATGGGCTGAGATGACAGCCCACCCATCACAGAAATCAAGCTAAAACTCAACATGTGATCACTTTAGATGCATCTTAGAGTAATGGAAAGGACGTTGGACTTGCCTCTGCCGCTAACCAACTGCGCGTGTTATCTCACTTTCTTCATTACACAGCATGATGGTTTGATTTATATATATTGTGAAAAAGATTACTATAATAGGTTTAGTTAACATCTAGCATCTCATATAGATACAATAAAAAGAAAAGGAAAAAAAATTTCTCCTTGAGATAAGAACTCTTAGGATCTACTCTCCTAACAACATTCCTGTATATCATACAGCAGTGCTAACTATAGTCAGCATGTTGTACGTTACATCCCTAATGCTTGTTTATCTTATAACTGGGAGTCTCTACCTTTTGACCACCTTTCTCTTTTAAAAAATAGGTAATGCTATTTTTTTAAAGGTATGGGAGCTTTTCTGTATTTTTCAATTTAAAAAAATGAACATGTAAAACTTTTTTGATTGGAAAAGTAAGATATTTTACAAACTGGAATTAGATTTAAAGGTGATAATAAATTCTTCTTCCATCCCAATTTCCATACCATCTTCCACATTTAAGCTCTAAGTAAATAATATGGATAAGACATTCACACATGCCATATATTTACGAAGTGTTGCCATTTTATCCTTCCATACAAAGCCTACTGTTCTTCATGTTTATGTGAACTATTTTAAAAATTGTTATTTTAAAATAAATATAGAGGGCCGGCCCTGTGGCTTAGTGGTTAAGCGTGCGCGCTCCGCTGCTGGTGGCCCGGGTTCGGATCCCGGGTGCGCACTGACGCACCGCTTCTCCGGCCATGCTGAGGCCGCGTCCCACATACAGCAACTAGAAGGATGTGCAACTATGGCATACAACTATCTACTGGGGCTTTGGGGAAAAAAAGGAGGAGGATTGGCAATAGGTGTTAGCTCAGAGCTGGTCTTCCTCAGCAAAAAGAGGAGGATTGGCATGGATGTTAGCTCAGGGCTGATCTTCCTCACAAAAAAAAAAAAAATTAAAAATTAAAAAAAAAAAACCACAATGAGATATCACTACACACCTATTAGAATGACCCAAATCCGAAACACTGACAATGCCAAATGCTGACAAGGATGTGGCGCAACAGGAACTCTCATTCGTTGCTGGTGGGCATGAAAACTGGTACAGCCACTTTGGAAGACAATTTGGCAGTTTCTTACAAAACCAAACGTACTCTTACCATATGATCCAGTAATCATGCTGCTTTGTATTTATTCAAAGGAGTTGAAAACTTGTGTCCACACAAAAGCCTGCACATGGGTATTTATAGCAGTTTTATTCATGATTGCCAAAACTTGGAAGCAACCAATATGTCCTTCCATAGGTGAATGGGTAAATAAACTCTGGTGTACCCAGACAATGGAATATTATTCAGCGCTGAAAAGAAATGAGCTATCAAACCATGAAAAGATATGGAGGAACCTTAAATGAATATTACTAAGTAAAAGAAGCCAATCTGAAAATCTACAACTATATAACATTCCGGAAAGGGCAGATCTATGGAGACAGTTTTTGGCTATTATGAATAAGGCTGCAGTGAACATTCTTGTAGACATATGTTTTCATTTATTGTGGGTAGATTCCTAAGAATTGCTGGGACATAGAGTGAATATGTGTATAACATTATAAGATCTTTCAGACAATTCTCCAACCTGAGTTTACCATTTTACATTCCCACCAGCAAAGTGAGAGTTTCACTTGCTCCATATCCTCACCAACATTTGGTGCTGTCACTCTTTTTTATTTTAGTGATTCTAGTGGGTATGAAATGACGTCTCATTGTAGTTTTAACATGCATTCCATATTAACCAATGAGGTTGAGCCTCTTCTCCTGTGCTGATTGGATATGTCTATGTCTTTTTTTTTTAGTGAAGTCTAATCAAATATTTTGTGTTTTGGGAATTGTTTGAGACTTCAGCATGATGCTGGCCAGTTTGCAAAGTTCCTGGTTACTTCCCAGAGACCACCATGACCTAGGAACATGGTTTTTGGAGGGTGATGTCCTGCTTGTTCCACAACTGCAAGAGTCATGAGCTCAAAGTATAAAATTGAAGTTGCAAATAGACCTCAATAAATCCCTGAGGTATAAATGGTAATGTGGAATCAGGTAAAGTTCAGTCTGGTAGCCATACATTAGCAGTTTATGTAACGTTATTTCAATTCTTTATGAGAAACTAAACAAGCACAGGAATTGTTTCTCATAGAGGGAATTGAGAGTAATGGTTTGGAACCTGAATTCTGGAGTCAGATACTGTAGTTCTATTTCTACCTCTGCCATTCATTGTGTCTTCTTTGGGTGACTTAATCATATCTTTGGGCTTCAGTTTCCTTACCAAAAAATAAGGAAAAAAATAACCTGTATTTTAGGCTGTTGTTATAATTAGAGGAATTAAGACATATAAAGCGTTTAAAATCGTGCTGGATTCATAGAAAATGCTGTATGAAGGTTAGCTATTGTTATTATTGATTTTGAGTTGACAGCCCGGCATGATTAGGCGCTCTAAAGTGTAGATTTTCCTTAGGAACTAACCAGTCTTTATCATTGGATAGCCATTCATTCATTAAACATCAATCTTAAACAGCTACATACTGTGTGATTCCATTGACATAATATTCTCAAAATGATAACATCATAGAAATGGAGAACATAGTAGTGGTTATGAGGTAGTAGGGACTTGGGGCAGAGGCTATAAAGGGGTAGTATGAGGGAGTTCTTTTTGTCATGATGGACAATTCTGTGTCTAGAGTGTGGTGGTGGTTACACAAATCTATACATGTGATAAAATTGCACAGAAACTATACACACACACACATACACACACTACACAAATGAGTGCATGTAAAAACCGGTGACGTCGAAATAAGGTCTGTAGATTGTACTAATGTCACTGTCCTGGTTTGATATTTTACTCAAATTGTTTGTGTAAAATGGTACCATTGGGGGAATCTGGGTGAAGGGTACACAGGAACTCTGTACTATTTGTTGTTGTTGTTGATTTTTTTAACAGCTTTATTGAGGTATAGTTCATATACCATACAGTTCACCCATTTTAATGTGTACAATTCATTGGTTTTTTAGCATTTTCACAGATATGTGCAATCATCATCACCACAGTCAATTTTAGACCATTTTCATCACCTCAAAAAGGAATCCCATACTTTAGCTAACACCACCCTACCCCCCAGACCCCCTCCAGCCCCTGGCAACCACCACTCTACTCTGTCTCTACAGATTTCTTTGTTCTGGATATTTCGTATGAATGGAATCGTATAATATGTGGTCTCTGTGTTATTTTTGCAACTCTTTGTGAGTCTATAATTATTTCAAAATAAAAAGTTAAAAAACGAATGGACATGTTGCTATAGGATGAGCACTGTGCTGGGCACTGAGCACACCCTGCTAAATGAAGCCATGATCACTGCCCCAGAGAGCCTAGAGTTTATTGGGAAAGGCAGAGAAATAAACGGACAATGAGAGTGCCGTGTCTTAAGTGCTCTGATGGAGGTAAAATAGAGGCTTGGACAGCACTAGGAGTAGTATAACTTAGGTTGGGAGTGAGGCCATGCCAAGTTCCCCCAGAGAAATTGCTTAGCAAAGTTTTAAAGTGCGTGACACGTGGAAGAATCTGGGACCATGTGTGGCCTACAAGCTCATGTGACATCTGTAGCCCTAAACTCTTTCTCAAGATGTTAGCCCCTCTTGGCTGGAGTCTTCAGCTGCAGTGCTCGGTGGCCGGGATGCCAGGCAGTCCTCATCTGTTGTTTCTTCTCCCCAGTGTCCAACAAGCACCCATTTGTGGACAGCAATCTTCTCTACCAGTTCAGAATGAACTTCCGTCGGAGGCGAAGACTGATGGAGCTGCTCAATGAAAAATCCCCCTCCTCCCAGGAAACTCACGACAGTCCCTTCTGCCTGAGGAAGCAGAGCCATGACAATCGGAAATCTACCAGCTTTATGTCAGGTATGTCAGTTCCATTGTTTATTTGATCACATGTATTTGTCTTTTGAGAAATAGCATAGTAATAACTCACCTTTGTGAAATTCTGTTCTCCAGCAAATTTTTATTTCTTCATAACCAAGAAGTATGCCCAAAAACCCAAAACAAACAACCAAGTTGTTCTTGGATAGTCAACTGAGATGCCATGAAGTCTGTTTTATAAAATTATGTATTTGAATTATAGATTTCTCAAGCTCTCACTCATACCTTATTTACTTTTTGTTTACAGAGAATTCTTACATATCATTAATTACCCAGTTTTCTAAATCACAGCTTTGAAAAGCTGTATATTTTAAGGGTGAATAAAGACTTCTGTGGGCATATACAACTAGAAGGCAACTGATTATCAATCCATTATGAAGGGGTGACACAGAACAGAGAAAAATTATGAGAAGCAGACACAGGAGCTCACAACGCACAGCAGCCTGAGACATTACATGTTGGTCACACAGTCCCGTATTTACAGTTAACCGTGACAGAAATGGTGGTGACTAATGTTCACAAAGATAACTCCACTCATCCAGAAAAGGTATCATTCCGTGTAAGAGGCTGAGGTGCTTAAGGGGGTATCTTCAACTCCTCTGAAAACTTGGCATTGACTCAAGGAACTGATTAGCCTAAGGTTTGGAAGTTCTGGGCTTAACCTGAAATCGAGGGCAAAAGGAAAATGTGTGTCTTGGTTATGAATAGGAGGTGACAATGAGAACACTTAGAACTATGTTGAGAACTATCTGCACCCCTGGCAGAGCCAAGCTTGGTTGCATGAATTTTCTCATTTAGTTCTCACAATACCCTAAGAGGAAGGGCGTTTCTTATCCTCATTTTATCAGTGAAGAAACTGAGGCATGGGGCAATTGAGCACCTTACCCAAGGTTACACAGCTGGAAAGTGGTGGACAGGGCTGGATCTTGCACCGGTTCTGTGTGACTGTGTTACGCCAGGACTTGTATTACACATTCTCCTCCCCACCCTCCCAAATCCCAGGTTCCTCAGACGCAGCTGGATGGAGGAGAGAATGAACCAAGAGCTGCTCTGGGAAAAGTAAACACCAGCCGAGGGTCAGGAGCCTAAGCCTGTGCCTAGACTCATGCCAGTTGTGTGTCCCCTTCAGGTTGTGGCTGCAAATGCAGAGTAACTATTCAGGTTCTCACTAGTACTAAGGTTTGTCTGTTTCTTAAGTGGGCCCAATAGACCCGAACAAATGATGATGATGAGAAGGAAGAAACAGTAACCACAGTCACCATAAAAGACAGCATTTGTTTTGTGCTTCCCACGTGCCAGGTGCCAGCAATGTGCTCTCCATGGGTTCTTTCATTTGATCATATACTTTGCTCTCTTCTCCCTGTTGAGAGCCAGCCACCTCCATGGCAGAGAGAATGAAATCAGATCATAGACGCTGCTGCCTCACATACACTTGCAAAGCCTTGGGCCGGCCCCGTGGCTTAGTGGTTAAGTGCACGCGCTCCGCTACTGGCGGCCCAAGTTTGGATCCCGGGCGTGCACCAACGCACGGCTTCTCCGGCCACGCTGAGGCCGTTTCCCACATACAGCAACTAGAAGGCTGTGCAACTATGACATACAACTATCTACTGGGAAAAAAAGGAGGAGGATTGGCAATAGATGTTAGCTCAGAGCCAGTCTTCCTCAGCAAAAAGAGGAGGATTAGCATGGATGTTAGCTCAGGGCTGATCTTCCTCACACACACAAAAAAAAGCCTAAATATGTGCTCTGTATTTTAATCTCCTTCTTCCATGGCTCTGGGTGATTAATGACTTAATATTAAATCAGGAGGCATTTATTATCACTGTTAATTCATTAAGTGTATAGCTAGTGCTTAATTTACATGCTCACAGGGACTGCTTAGCATGGGCTTGGTAGTTCTTGAAATAATATTTTATGTAGCTGAATACTTTCACATACAGTATATATTTCACTCCTTGCACCGTTCTATGAGATAGCATTATTTCCACCTTACAGCTGGGGAAATTGAGGCTCAGAGAACTGCAAGGAGTGGCCCCAGGTTGCAGTGGCAGAGCTGTAACTCAACTCCTTGCTTTCCTGACTCCGAGGCCGGGGTGCTTTTTTCTGGCCCGTGTGACTCGCCTCGCTGTGCCTCGCAGCTGAAAGCTCTTGTGCTCTAGGGAACCGAGACCACCACCCTCAGTGACTGTGTGTTTTCCTGCCCGCACAGTCAGCCCCAGCAAGGAGATCAAGATCGTGTCTGCGGTGAGGAGGAGCAGCATGAGTAGCTGTGGCAGCAGTGGCTACTTCAGCAGCAGCCCCACCCTCAGCAGCAGCCCCCCTGTGCTCTGCAACCCCAAGTCCGGTGAGTGGCCAAAAGGCGCCCCATTTCTATGACTATGGGGGGGCTTGGGCAGATGTGCAGGCTGGGTCTGAGAAGCAGATTCTCAGGTGGAGGGAGTCTGGTGTGTGGGAATCTTTTTTAATTTTTTTTTTTCTGTGTTAATTTTTTTTTTTTTTTGTGAGGAAGATCAGCCCTGAGCTAACATCCGATGCCAATCCTCCTCTTTTTTTTTTTTTTTTTGCTGAGGAAGACTGGCTCTGGGCTAACATCTGTGCCCATCTTCCTCTACTTTATATAAGACCCCACCACAGCATGGTTTGACAAGCGGTGCGTCAGTGCACACCCGGGATCTGAACCTGCGAACCCTGGGCCACCGAAGTGGAGTGCACACACCTAACCGCTGCACCACTGGGCCGGCCCCGTGTGGGAATCTTATTACAGTGTGCTCTTGGGGTCACCATCTATTGAATGGAAGGGAAGGATGTAGGTTTGGGCAGAGGGAGAATTGGGCAGCAGCTGACCCCAATGGGAGCTCTGGAGTTGAGATGGCCCTTCAGAGTTGTCCCAACTTGCCAGGCCTTTGTACCCTTATGTTGACCAGTCATTACATGTTGGCTGCCGCTGGGGGGAGGGCATGACCTTGGGCAAGACGACTCTCTTCAAGAGAGAGAGTTCTAAAGACAGTTGAGGATATTAACAGTCCCAGCAGCTGGGGGGAGCCTCTCAGTCCTGAAGGAGGGTTTGAGCACCACAGCCCTGTTCTCTATAGGAGGGGAAATAGTACTTCCCCAGATTGCAACTGATGCAAAGATCTATCAGGTCTCAGCACCCAAGGAAGAAGCATGGACCCATGCAAACCCAACTGTCCCTGGAACTGACTCTTGGCGCCCTGTGGTTTCAAACTCTACTCATCAACCTCCATGGCCTTTACATTCCAGAAAAAATCTAGGCACAAAGATTGTTGATGAACTTGTACTTAGAAACAATCTATCCTTGACCTAATCAGTTCTTCAGCCCCACAGGCACCTGTAACCATTGATACTACCTTCTCACTGTCCGTTACTCACCTCATTCCTAGGATTAGATTGTATGGTCCATCATGATAGTCATTGCCTTGAAAATACCTTCAACTCCGTTTGTTTAATGTGCTGTCCACCCTCCATACAGTGTATCACATCACCTTCAGGGAAGAGACTTTGTTTCTTTTATTCTTGCTGTTTCCTCATTCCCAGAAGTTGGGGATACAAAGATGAGAGGTCATGACTCCTTCCCTCAGTGAACGAATCCTCTCTTTGGAGAAAAGAAACATTATGCAGTAGTGAGAATAGGGATAAAAAGGGTTATTCAAAGGACTTGAAGAGAGAACTCTGTCATTTAATGCTGTTATCTATGCAAATGGGTGTTTTTCTTAATCCAGCATTTTTTTTTTTTTTTTGCGTTGTCTGGAGGGTTAGCTCTAAGAGTAAAGTTATAAGCTTTAAGTGAATGAAGAAACTTGCTTCCACAGGGACTCTGTCTGGAAAATCATTGAGCTCCCATATACTACCGGGTTTTTCAATTAATGGAACATTGCTGCTAAGGGAGAATGAGAAAGGAGAAATATATTCTTAAAAGTAGGATGTTTGAAGCTCTGATAGAAATCTGACAGGTATCTTCAAGGTTAGAAATAAAAGAGTTCTTGGGCCAGCCCAATGGCTTAGCGGTTAAGTGCGCGTGCTCCGCTACGGGCGGCCTGGGTTCGGATCCTGGGCGCGCACCGACGCACCGCTTCTCCGGCCATGCTGAGGCGGCGTCCCACGTGCAGCAACTAGAAGGATGTGCAACTATGACATACAACTATCTACTAGGGCTTTGGCTTAAAAAAAAAAAAGGAGGAGGATTGGCAATAGATGTTAGCTCAGACCCGGTCTTCCTCAGCAAAAGGAGGAGGATTGGCACGAATGTTAGCTTAGGGCTGATCTTCCTCACAAAAAAAAAAAAGAAAAGAGATCAGTTTCAGAAAAGGGTCAATTGTGCTAAAGTCATTTTACATGTTTTTGATTGCGTATAATAGTAGAATATGAAGAAAGTGTTAATTACCTAAATTAACTACATATCCATCTTCCCTGGGGTGGGTTTGTGGTGTCTCCTCTTTCTCCTTATCCCTTGGCTCAAATGCAGGCAGAAAAGAAAGGCCACATTGCCTTTTTTGGGTCTCTAAGGACCAGAGCTGTCAGGACTTAATTGTGGTTCATAAGTCTTACCTCTTACCGTATTCTTTTTTTTTTTTTTTT